CATATGTTATAGATCTACTTGATTTTAACCATTTTTAAAAATTAAAATTTTATAATTAGATNTAAAAATAGATTTTGAGATAATCTTAAGAACATTTTACATCAAAATTATATATCATGATAAAATTTGATGGTGCACCTACCTCTACACCTACGATGCATCCGTATGCAAACTGCACCCTTTTACTAAACAATGCTAGATGACAATTAGAACCCGTATTCATGTAGCGCATCTTGTGATGCATGAGTTCACACCAGCATTGCATGTCAGTTTGTATCATTCTCACACTGACTGGTATAGATACCTAAAAAATCATGCTCCAAAGTTCCAGAAAACTTTATGGTAGTGGGATATATTTTGAAAGTGTTGAAATCTGGGTCATCAATGTTCAGTCAAAAGAAGTGAGAAATAAACTAGGAGGGGAAAAGCTGCATCTATTTGCGGACCAACTAGAGGCCAAGCATTCCAACTCTTCTTATTATAACTTAACTTGCTCATTTGTATAAAGAAACTCATACTCAATCGAGAAGAAGTGGACTTGTAGTTCGAACTACTATGAGACTGGGACAGGTGGGCCTTTTTGTTGATGTCCTGATCCCTGGAACAAGAGAAGCGTTTCTTTTCCATTGTTTAGATCGTGTGATAATCTCGAGGGACTAAAGGGAAAACACAATTGATAAGACCTCTTCTTTCGCCCATTCCAATTCCTTGGATTCCCATTTACCTGATCTCAAAAGAGATCGTTAGACTTAAGAGGAGGTCGTCATAGATAGCTCTAGGTCTCTACTTGAAGACGTGCGGACTAACCTCACAGCATTTCTAAGCAGGTTCCTTTAACCGGCCTGATTCTCTTATTAGTTATGAATTTCCCAGAGCACCCTTTAATTTCCCAGAGAATTAGGATGAAAATACTCATAGGAGCCTAGAAATCCTATATCTACGCCATAGTTTCTAATCCAAGCCCTAGATCTCCCATCTAAATCCAAAATATAGACTTTAACAACCTTAGATTCCATGATTCAATCCTAGTCACAAACTTTCTAACCCTTCTTCCTAGATCTAGTTAGATCCAACCATAGAAACCCTAGTTTCTTATATATCATTCACTACAGACTCCGATGCCATAGCTATAGTTATATACACCTAGGTCACTCATCAGGTCATTACTGCCCATGTGTTTCAATTCAAACATGCATGGGCATGACATGGCTCGCTCACTAAGTGCACTCGAGCGCTCTTGAATGGCCTATAGTTGTTACACAACCACCTGCCTAGGGATGTTACAAATTTCAAATTCAAATCCCACTTGACTAATATGGTCACACCTTCCCAACCAAGTGTGAGGTCAGCTGCCTCTTGTACATGGTCCATGCCTATGTCCAGTCAGGTTGCTGCCCATGGTTGACTAACCAAGCCTCAGCATGTTGGTCTCAGCCGTCCACCAACTTCGCCAAGGGTCTTTATCCACTAGCCCACGTGTGGGCATGCATCTGCACACTATGGTGCACTAGCCTAGCCTCTTGCTCAATAAATGTTTAAGGCATTAAAATCCCTCATATAGATTTTCCGTTCAAAAGAATTGGCCCACCAGAAGTGAGAGCTAAATCAGTCGAAGTATCACAAGTCCATACAAAGCCCGATGGTCCTTTGCAAATTGTTCCAATGCTAGGGGTTCCCACACATGCCCAGATAGCCACGCGCATGATGCCAAGAGAAGGGATCTGACAAAAAACTTTTATGAGGGTAGCATTAATTTTACAGGTCCTTATGTTGCTATTGATGGTTTTAGGCTTTTAGCCCCCATACTATTTAAACACAATGCCATTCTATTATTTAAAGATGAACCATTTTACTGAAGCAGTAGAGGATCTACACCATCACCACAAAAGGAACTGCTAAAAATCAAATAAAAAACAGACTCATATTCAGAGTCATGGAATGCCAAATGCTCTCAACCTAGCTCTAGCTTTGCGAATCCTATGACAACTCACACATTAAGCTTGGGGTTTTTCTCTTCACACCACAATTTATCTGGATAATAGAAGGCAAAATCACAAACCATTCAAATAGAGCCAAACCTAATATTTGTCATGCCATACAGTACTGGTTTCCTAGAATCAATGGAGTAAATATAAATCTCCCAAATCATACATATGTGAAACCAATATCATAAATCTTAACATATTAAAGCAATGATTCATGCCCATAGAAAAGAAACATTGACCTCATCGAAGGAAAAAATACTCCATGACGAACCTAACAAAGCATTCGATCAAACAAGTTCAAGTTACCAACCAATAAAGAAAAAGATAAGAACAGAAAAACACGAACGTCAAAACCGAGGGCGTGTAACATAGAAACAAAACAGATTGGAAAATTTATTAAAAGAAACAACAAATATAATATTTTTATAAGAAACAAAATCCTCTCAGTTTTTGAAATGACAAAAAAAAAAAATCAACATAAAGAAGCTGCTTCTGATAACTCTTGAAATTTCATGAGTTTACATGTACAAGTTATACATTATACAAGGTATCCCAGACTATTCAAAGTGTTCCAAACTATATACGAGGTAAATATTTTAAGAAAACTGAACTGTAACTCTTCTCCCTCTAGCTCCTAGTATTCTGAGATTGTCTAGAACTAGTATTCTGAGATTGTCTAAAAGCAGCATTGAAAGAAAAATGCCCCACATTAAGGAAAAAATTGAAAGATACTCGGAAACAATAATAAAAAGCGGTGAGAAGATCTTTGATGTTTTTCCTTCTTTTTTTTTTGGGGGGTGAGCAAATGTATATGCTAAATGGGCAGCAATCAAGCCAGGAGGTTCCCTGAAGAGGGCCATGAGATGTCATAAGAATGAGCCCAATGAACATGACATAAGACTCATCATTATTATTTCCAATTATGTTCATCATGTGATCATTTGAATATGCGGATCTTAATCATATGGGATAAAGCTTGATCAAGTTTCAGATATATAATAATCAAATTCATATTTCAAAGTTACCAAGGATCACTTGGACTGAAAATGGGAGCATGCAGTCCACTCTTAAGATTATAAAAAGTTTCTCCCACAAATGTAGAAAATGTTTTGGCAGAAACCAGAAAAGATGGGACACAATCGTTCAACCAATCCACTCGTCAAGCAACTCCATCCACTTCATTAAAAATAATGTTTGTCATGCTTAGGCTATCCTAAACTTAGATTAGGTAGAAAATCTTCTCCAATATAATAGGTTTCAGTAGAGTGATATGTCACTACAATAAGAAAGAAGCAGTGTCATGATTGATGCCAATCTTTCAACCATTGAATAATCAATTACCGATTAAGTTATATCTATAATAGACATGCCAGTTTCATCTTTCATTTATTCTAATATGCTTACCCCAAATCAGACTTAAATGGCCTTTGAACCTCCCTAACTCCAGCTCTAGAGTATTTACGCATCAATTTTGGTTCGTAAGGTTGGATGATTAGTTCTCATACTTCCAACCTGTGTGACCAGTAACTCATCTTCGATAGTTGCTTATGCTTCTCTAATTAATTCATTGGAAGTCCTAAATCTACCAAGTACAAGGGTCTAATTGGCTTCTGAAAAAAATATCAAGACATTTGGAGTAAAATGATCAAAGAAAGATAATGTAACAATCCAAATCATCAATCTCGTTGTTCTTCTTCAAAGAAGACAAAGAACAAGAGCCAATTAAGGCTAAAGTGAAAATAGCGCATAGCACAGATATCTAAAGATGCTGATACAAAAGAAGCCAAGGCCGATTTTCTTGAGCAACCCTACAATCTCCCTTAGTCAAATCTGATGTTATGAGGTTCTGACTGCAAGGACAATGGAGAATTAAGAAAAAACTATTTTGAAACTAGTTGTCCACTAGAAATAAGATCTACTCTCAGCTTCAGAATATTCTGTGACAAAAGAAAACCAACAGATGTAGTGTCCTACTGTGAGCTAGTGGAGAACAGTTTACATTTCAGCCTTGTATATTTCCCTTGTACATTTTTCACACATTAATATAAGGAAAATTGTATTATGAGGGCTGGACTGCATTCCTACATATGCAGTCCAGAAAGTGTAAACTGTAAAGCATCCATCTTAAAGATGGATGCAAGTAGGTGATCCATCTAAAAACAATGGAAACTAACGGTCCAAATGTTTTCTAACTAGAATTATTATTTTTACTTTTTAAAATTTATTTATTTTTTCATATTCATGATCTCCATGTTAGAGATTACATGTCCTTAAAAATTAAGTCCTAAATTCCATCTCAAAAATAGATTTATTATGAGGCCCGCATTTCTACATATGCGGGCTTGACCGCATAGAAACCGGGTCCTAAATATAATGGGTGGGGTGACACCAAATAGTTGGGATCAGGCTCAAATGATGATGGCGATGAAGACAATGGGTGAGGTACCCGCTCAAACCCCTCCAGAACTTAGTGGAGAAAACTATGCATGGAAAATATAGTGTTAAACAAAAAAGGCAAAAAAAACGAACAGCATATGGACAAAGGAAACTGTTTAGCTCTAGAAAAAGGGTTACCAACTGATCAAAAAAAAAAAAAAAAGTTCGAACACCTATAGTCAAAAAAAAAAAAGGATTAGCCTAATAAACGACAAGAACATGAGATACAAATGAAATTTCCTTTGCAATTAGATTGGTAAACACATCCTAAATATCAGGCAGCATTAGCATATGAAGGATAGATCCTCTAATACTTTGCACTTTAGGTGCATTCCCATGAACAAAGGCACCACCTCTGTACTTGGGAGGTTCAGTGGTAGAATTCGAACTTGGGATGTAGTGTTGTAATAATCATCATCATCATAGCCTTTTCCCAATTAATTGGGGTTGGCTATGTAGTGTTGTCATCTCAACACCTTAACCAATCAATCCCAAGCCCAAATCACAAAGCATCACCTTTAACATACTTAAGGATTATCCAAAGATTCTTGCCTCGAAAGTAAATTGAAGATCCATTAATAATTTTCATTCCAAACGAAATGAGGTCTTGAGTAAAGTTCAATGAGAGATTCTCGAGATTCTCCAGTCAGTCATATCCAACTTGTGCTCTAATAGATTAAAACATGATTACAATTCTAAAACTATGGTTCTTGACATTTATTCCATACTGCCTCGATCATAGTAAATCTTGTCAATCTAATAAAATGAACTGCTCCACTAAATTAGCAAAGCATACAGCAATTTCAAAGTTATAAGAAATCCAATGGTTTTTTAATGCATTTAGTCTAGTGGATACAACCATTCTAATAGGGTCACCCACAGAAAATTCTCTATAGTCGTTATCTTTCAAGGAAACAAAAGACAAAAGAAATATGGTCAGAAAGATAGATCTTAACAGTGACACACAAGTTTACCATGAGCAAAATTAGGATTACAAGTCTTAACAAGTTTACCATGAGCTGAATCTCAATTCTCTAAGTTCGCATGTGGTGGCTTGATCCCAAACTGCCATCTGAACCTGTAGGGCCTCAGGATAGAGGCAAGCACTGCATTTCCCATATGGAAAAAATCTCATGTATCAACTCAGAGAGGGAATCAATTATTTGCAGACAAAGAGCTTTCAAAAAACAAAGGAAAAAATAAATAAATAAATATATATTTAACGAGTAAGCTTTCCAAAAAACGAAGGGAAAAAAAAATCATATCTCACTCGCCAGAAACTGAGGCAGAAATATCAAGATCCCAGAAACCAATCAGTTGTGCATAATGCCAGTTTCAATGGTTGAATTGATGCGACTAACAAGAACTGGCAGAAAAAGCTTAATACTCAGTTTCTATGATAATCAATACCAGTTAAAGTGGGTAAACTACTGACAAAATGCATATATTTCCAAGCTGAATATTTCATGACGTGATTATGAAAATAATCAGATCATTCCTCTCGCACATAGGTCCATATTTAGAGAAACTAGAATGACCTACAAACATAACAATGACTTCACAGCAGAGTAACTGGGATCTCCTAAGGTGGGCGGCAATCCCGCTCTGGGAAAGTACTCGCAGAGTGGGATCACAGTCCATTCGCAATCTCATATTGGGGGAAGTGCAATCCCCAATCTAATAAAGGTTTGTCTAAAGGTTAAGATACCACATTTATATTTTTAAAGGAAAAGAAGGAAGAAATACATGTCAATCCACAGTAATTACATAACCGTCAAAAACAGAAAGCAATAAATGCATATCAATAAGCAAATAAAGCAATGGTGATTCAAAAATATGTTCCTGAAATTTTTAGGAGGAAAGACGTTCTTATATACAATCAACAAGAGAAAGTTTTAAATTCAATGCTCCTAAGTCACATTTAATGTAGGGAATGATTGGGTGCAACTCTTGTCAAAATGATATATGAGATTTTGCCCAGTCACCCTTTTGAAAAATGTTTACAAGATAGAAAGTTTCTCTCTCCCCCACCACTGTCTTTTTCTCTCTATATTTCTAAATCATATGCTCTATCTGCCTCATACTAGGTTTTCTTTTACCTTCTCTTTTCTTTTTTCTTTTTTTTTTTCCCTTTGAATTGAAATCAAGGGGTATCTAAACAACAGGGCCGGAGTTGTTATGATTTGACCTCAAATCCTTCATTATTGCTTAGAATGTAAGATCTAGTAAATATATTTACTACATTATTGTGAAAGAGTAGTATATGAGAAGATTCAAGTAAATATATGAGAAGATTCATGTAAATAAATGAGTTTTACTCTCAAATTGTATCGAATGCGGTTTATACAAGGCCTTCACCTTAAACAATCAAAGTCACCTTGCCAGAAGATGCAGTTCCACTGCCAGAAACACTTATGATGGCCTAAAAATCTATTTCCTCCACTAATAATGAAACTAAAGCTCCAAAAAAAATTTCAAGGACATAGAAATGAAGTTTCAGGGCTGTTTCACAAGGTTACATCACTTGTAGCCTTTTGGGCCTCCACTCATAGTACCTTTGATGGGATTCCTACGAGTTCTTTCCTCAGGCAATGGGGACAATATTATCCGACTCCAACCTTTCAAGCTACAAAGACCCCACAACTGGTTGCCTCCTCCAGAAAATGCCATAAAGTTAAATTTCGATGGCTGTTCCCATTCAGGAGTAGGGGGGTCTTCAGAGATCACAACTGCAATGTTCTCATGACATATTCAGAATATGTCAGCTATGGAGACTCACAACTTGCTGAAGCATTGGCTCTACTAATGGGCCTTAAATTTTTTGACCCATCTTGGGGTCAATCCTTAGTGGTGGAAAGAGATGCTAAAAACATTATATCTTTAGCAGCAAGCACAACTAATCCTCCTTGGTACCTACCTAGGATTTTTTATGCGATTTACCACCTATGCAGGGATACCAACGTTTGTTGGAGGCATACATGGCGGACGTTGAACGAGTTCGCCAACCTCCTAGCTAAAGATGGTGCTTGGCGACGACCACACATGGAAGACAATGAATGGTCCACCTCCTTTTTTGCACTGGACCATCGAGGTTCTCTAGGACTCTAAATCTCTTTGTGACTTCTTGTAAAAAGGCATGCCTATAAGCCCAATTTTTTGGAAACCTCAATCTTTTGTATACAGTCCCTACAAAAGTATATAGTTTGTATAGGGGTTTTGGCTTAATTTTTTGACAGAGAGACCCATCTCAAGGGTAATCTCAGCTCTCTGTATCCTCAACCTTTTGTATTCCTTCTTGTTATAGTAATACAATGTTAACATTATTAAAAAAAAATAAAGCTCCAAAAATGGTGCGGATCGAACAGAACTATAGACACTTCACAATCTTGAAAACGGGACGGTCCAGATAATATGTTACAAGATGCACTATTTGTAAGACTTGAAATCCTTTTTCCTTCACATCCATATATCTTGAAGTTGAGATGATCAATTGGAGGTTTTTCAACATCAGATCACACTCTTTTAAATAGATTTTTGAGAAGCGCCTCACTTCTATAGTATAAGGTTGACACCTTATATATACTTTTTTGAATTTTATTTCAGTAAATTTATTTGCAGTTATTATGAATATATTCCAAGTATATTAAGTTTGCATCATATTAATTAAATGGGAATTAGCAGTATTTAAAAACTGTCCCCATATTTTACATTTTACACTCGTGCCTTTTCCTTTTTTAAAATTTTTTTTCCAAAATTCCCCATATTCAGAACTAATAATTATGGACCACTTTGATCTAGCCTTCCATCTTTGTAAGGAATTGAAGCATTTCAGAACTATCAGTTCCAAACCACTAATGATTCCTTACAATGAACAGTTCGGAACTATTAGTTCCGGGCCACTTTGATTCCTTACAATCAGGAGTAAGGACCTAATAGTTATGGACCACTTTGTTTCCTTACAATAAGCGGTCTAGAAGTAATAGTTCCGGATGGCTTTGATTCCTTACAAGGAGTGGTCCAAAGCCACTAGTTCCGGATCACTTTGGTTCCTAATTATGAACAGACTAAAGCAGTCCAAAACTAATAGTTCCAAAAAAAGGGTATTCTGGGAAACAATAAGAAACAAAAAAAGGGGGACCTGAGCGTAAAATGTAGAATATGGAGGAGATTTTTAACATACCAATATTTATAATAGATAATAGCTTAAATTTCCCATTAAAAAAATGTGGTTAATCTTTTAATCCTAAAATTTCTCCATTTTCATTTATTAATGTATGGTTGCTCCCATGGCTCTCCCAAACCAGGTAACTCCTTGCAAGCAGCAATCCTCAGTGCCCACTCCCCCCCCTCCCTCCCCAATAAAGAATAAAAAAAATGCGCACTCCCCCCTCCAACAATTATGCTTCTCACTCAATTGAAACTATTATGAACAAAATGCCAGCATCTTTCATGGACTTGGCAGGGTGAATGATTCAGCAACTACAAATATTCCACCATCCTCAAGATATGGATTATTGATTTTAAGGGTAAATTTGGCACAATTATATGGCAGAAGATGATACCCATCACATTATAACAATAATGTCAATGGACAAATAGTTGTAGTCATAATCCAAGGCATTGACAATTTATTTTATTTAGAATTTTTGTTGGTTCAAGAGATTGAGCATTGGTTTTTAGGAGGTACCTGCAAACAGTATGGATGCAACCCTTCACCAAAATTGAAACGTGCCCATGCTGAAGAATTCTCAACCTTTAGAAAGAAGATTTGTCAACGCATATGCATCCCATGCAGATCATAACAAGCTTTCTCTGTAACAAAATGATCAGTTAATCAATAAAATATAATTTGCATTTGCATTCCATCCAGATCATAAGAAGGTTTCTCTGTCACAAAATGAACAGTTAATCAATAAAATATATGTTGCATAACGAAATGTCACTATTAGGACTGCCAAAAACACACTCCTCATAAGAGGTAATTCAGTGAATGTACTTACACAATATTTTATGGTCAGCAGGACATCATTTCCCCACAAGCTAGAGGGCATCCCCCATGAGATAACATTCTGTCGAGTGCATTATTTTGCTAACACAGGCCCTTCTCACTTCTTTTGAGCAAAGCTGCATTTCAAAGAGATCCAAGTACACCTCCCATATATAATGATGTAAACCCAAAGAATTAACGCTCAACAACCATTTATAAGACTTCCTTTGCTCTTAAACTTGCTGATTAATTCTTGGGCTTCTTGAAAGCAACCTTGTCTGGAAAGTGTGTCAACAATCAAACCATAGGAATAACAGTTGGGAACACAACCATTTGCTTCCATTACACCTAACAATTCTTTGGCCTCATCCGTTCTCTTAGAATTGCATAGAACCTTGATGAATGCATTGTATGTGTAATGATCCGGAGTAACTCCTGATTTTAACATGGAACTGAAAATATTTTGTGCCATTTCAAGGTTCCCTATCTTACAGAGATTCAAAATGACAGCATTATATGAAAAAACATCAGGAGTTATTCCCTGACTTTCCATCTCTTTCAACAACTTTAGAGATCGCCCCATTTCCCCCATCACACAAAGTGAATGAATCATTATATTGTATGTTAAAGCATTTGGAGAGACACCCCATTCAACCATCTCATTAAAACATTTAAAGGCGTCATCCAATTGGCCGATTCTACAAAGGCCATTAATAATGGAACTAAAAGTGATAACATCTGGTTTGAACTGGAGGTTTAGTAACATCAAAAGTAATTCACGGGCCTTCTCTACCCTCTCAGACTTGCAATAGCCATCAATAAGTGTATTGAATGTCACAAGGGTGGGAGTATAGCCCTTTTCTATCATCTCATCAAAGAATTGTGATGCCCTATTCATTAGCCTTAATTTAGAGAATGTATCAATAAGAGAGTTATATGCATAAACACTACAAAGAAGCCCATCTAAGACCAAGTAACCAACATATAGATCACCCTCCTTGTTCCTTCCCACACCATATAAACCACTAGTGAGGATGATATATGAATCAAAACAGGGTTTCCCACCCCTCTCACGAAATTTATCAAGAAGCTTGCAAGACTCGCTAAATTTCGAGCCTTTAACAAGACAAATCATCAATCCTCTGAAGACTGAAGGATTAGGAAAATAACCCTTTTCCTCAATCTTCCCCAAGAGACTAAGAATTTCACTCACCATACCCTCCTTGGAAAGGCAGTACAGCATGGTGCTGCAGGCCTCTTCACTCAAAACTTGCTGCTTTTCTAAAAGACCACAGACCAAATCATAAGCATCCTTTGGGTTGTTGCCTTTAAATGATCCATGAATCAAAGATCTAATTGTAGCATCATTAGGAGCAATACCTCTCTCTTCCATTATCCCCAAGAATCTAAATGCCTCTTCTATCCTATTTGCCTTACAAAACCCATCAATAAGCATGGTATATGTGAACACATTAGGCTTGTGACCACAAGTTTCCATCTGTTTTAGTAACCTCAGTGCCTCATCTAAAATACCCAATTTGCAGACTCCATGAATTAGGTGGTTATAAGTGAATCTATCAGGAGAGCAACCTTCAGCTGGCATCTGCTGAAATTTGAAGTAAGCCAAATCCAAGCAATTGGATTTAACAAGAGCATCGATGACTGTGTTATAAACTCGGGTGGTTGCCTTAAAACCAAGAAAAGATATCTTCTCAAAGACCTCACTAGCATACTTTGCAAGACCTAATCTTCCCCAACTATTAATCAACGCACAAATTGCATCTTCTGTGATCCTACATTCAGAAATTCTGAGCTCCCGAACCAACCCAGCCGATAACACTAGAGGACCTCTGGTGAAAAGTATATCATCAAGAATTCGTTGAGCTGAAGTGCATTTCAATTGAAACCCATCAAGCTGAGAAACCCATATGTAGAATTTGAATGCAAGCGCAGGGTCTTCTTGGCTTCTCAGAGCTCTTGAGACAAACCGAGCAGTTAATATGCTCGAATCTCGATGAGCAAAGACATTGTTTAATTGGGTGAACCAGTCTTTTCTACTGAGGATATCTATTACACTCACAGCATCCACCGGTGCATGGACTAATTTTCGGAGCTTTTGATTATCAGTTTTTACTTGTTTGGTATCGAAATAAAAATCGGATTTCAAAGAAGAGTGTTGCGTTTCAGGAATCCAATTTTGGGTGGCTAAAAGTTTTGCAGTAGTATGAGAAAAAACAGCAGTTGAGTAGTGGTAGTAGTAGTAGTAGAAGCGAGAGGAGGACTTACAAAGGGAGAGAAGGCTGGATACGATACATTCCGTTGCTGCAACTGTACGAAGCCTGAGAGAGGCTCGCGGAAATCCTCTCATTAGAGAGAAAGAACAGGGATTTGGGGGGAATTGGAAAACAAAGAGAAGGGAAAGGACGAAGACAATTGCAATTTTCTTAACGCTTTGGCTGCACCCCAACAGGTGACAGGTGCAGGTGCGGTTGCAGCGTTATATTTGAAAGGGAAAATTTCTTCTTACACCCCGTATTTTGAACCCATTTCTCAATAGACCTAACCTTTCAAAATCTTTATTGCAGGAAGAAGAGAGAGAAAGCAAGACTATACCCGAGGCATGATGCCGCTGGTTGGGGAGGAGGGCGAGTGAGAGAGGATGAAGAGGAGTACAGAGAGTAAGAAATTGAGAAAGCTGAGAGAAGAGAGAGAGAGAGAGAAGAAAGAGAGATAATGAAGAAATGAGAGAAAACGAGAACCCGGGTTTAAATGCTCAATTTGGAAGTTGGGAGTCTGGAACTTTTAAGATCGAAAGTTTTCAAAATTGGAAGCCCAAAGTACTAAAAACATTCTCTCCCTAGCTAAATTATTCTCTCTCTTCAAGAAAAATAAGAGGAAACCCAAAGGATATCATCGTAATTATTTATTGGTGATAATTTAATTCATCTTATTACTAATTAAGGGCGTGGTTTTTATATCGTTGTAACTTTAAACAAACCTCCAAATGTTATCATAATATGTAATTTTGGTGTAAAATATTATTAAGACTAATTGAAAATCTATTTTTATATCTAATTACAATTTTTTTAATTTCAAAAATAGTTAAAATCAAATAGATCTATAAACATATGAAAATTTTGAAAAAGATGGTCTAGACAATGTGTTGCAAGATACATTATTTCTACGATTCAAAATCCTTTCTTTTTTTTTTTCATATTCATATATCTCAATGATGAGATGATCAATTAGAAAAAAACCTTTTCTAATAGATTTTTGAGGTACATCTTTATTTCTACATTTTAATGTTGTAACTTTTTATAAACTTTTTCCAATAATTAATTAGATATATATTCTCCAATATTATGAAATCTTATCCTAGTTAGATATATATTCTAATTAGAATATGGATAAGACAATTATCTTATTAATAATTAATTAGATATAAATTCTCCTTAAATACGTATATGAAACCTTATCCTAATACCCATAGCACCATGTCTCTCTTGTTGACTATGAAAACTAAGGTATGGAAAAATCAAGACAAAGAGAAAAATAGGCCGAATTTAAAATAAATAAACACTATGTAAGAGGAATTTTTACTCTAAAATTTTGAAAACTACTCAAGAATCACTAAATAATTATTTTCAACAAGGGAAATTTTGAATATTAAGTTTTATAACTTGCACATATCTCATGCTAAAAAATGACCCCAATTAATTGGGCAAATGCTAAAATGATGATGAAGATATCTTCTCAAAAAATTGGATAAATCTCTATTCAATCTTGTGACATTATTATTTTTAGATAGTAAAATTTAAAATCTTTTAATATAAATCTTTTAATAAATCTTGAAGAGCTTACATCCCCCAATTGAGGATCCTAATATTAATCTATATCGTGAACAACTTATATCCCCAAATTAGGATCCTAATGTTACTCATAGTACGCATGAAATCTTTATCCCCATATCCCATGGATTTCCCACTCTCTTTCTTTAAATAAACTCATAAAATCTTGGTCTCATGGCACGTCAATTCTCTCTCTAAATAAATTCTCTCTCAAAAAAACTCTCTCTAAACTCATTCCGATCTCCAATAGGATCCCCAGTTAAAATAGGTCATAGATTGAGAAAACTCTCTCTCTCTCTCTAAAACCTCTCTCTCTAAACTCATTCCTATCTCCAATAAGATCCCCCGTTACAATAGGCCATAGATTAAATTAAGTTTGCTTCCTCTAAATAGGGTTAGAAGCAGGCGGATGTCTTACAAGCTGCATTGAAAGTTGAATTCATCCATTATTTAGCTTCTTCTTCTCTCAATTCTCTCTCCATTAAAGTTGTGAATAAGAAATTTGTGTATATTTCTTCTGCAACCGCTTCAAATGTATCAGGGAGTTGAAATCGCGCCAATTGTGAAAGAAAGACCTATGTGATCTTTTTTCGTCAGGAAAATATTATTTTTTTTTTAATAAAAAATAATCACCCTTTATAATTTTGACAGTAAGATCACTCAGAGATGGTCTTATTACAAACAATAGAAATTCCAAAAAATAAATAACACATCAATAATATAAATCTCAACTACTTGATGTCATTCGTACAACCTCATATGTGCTTGATAATATAAAATAAAAAAATAAAAAAAATTATGCCGTAGATTACTTCAATCGGGTTTTTTACACACCACACCGAGTCACTACATCCAATGGTGTGGGATCTGTCGTCTAGCTTAAATCTCGAACCGAAATAGCTAATTTTGGCCAAACTATGTAACCACCCTCAAAATCTCTACTAAACCTTAACCCCCAAACCTAACTTAGGCTTCCCTTTAATTTTTCTAACCATTAGTTTCTTTTAGGTCTAGAGTGGAAAGAGAGAGTATTACCTAGGGTTTTGGAGAGGAGAGAGAGAGTACTACTTAGGATTTTAGAGAGAGGAAGTTATAGAGAGAAATATGGAGGAGAGAGAATAAGGTGTGCCCCTCTAAGGGAGAGAGGTGAGAGAGAGAAGAGAGAGAGAGGTTGTGTGTAGAGATTGGGGGAGAGCACCCTTATTTATAGTAGATATTTAGGTTTAGCGTTTTTTAGGGTTTTCTCATAATTTGCCTCTTTTATGAGATTGAATCTAGACCGTTGATCAATGTGACTGGTGGGGTGAGAGATCTGAGTCATCCATTCCATAGATGGGCCGTCAACATTATGAAATGTGTTATGACCATTATCCACTTTTGCTTGAACTATTTTCCCATCAATATATTTAAATAAAATAAATATCTTGCTTTCCATAAAAGTGCATGATCCTTATCGCATATTCCATAAGGATATGTCAATAATTATCAAGCAAATAAATACTACCAAATAAGATAAGGTCAATATTTCCCTTCCAAGATTTGACCACATGCCACAAAATCAAAGTTACTATATTTAATAAACTTGAGCACAAAGCAACAAGAGAATCCAAGGGGTGGGGCATGCCATCCCTTTGTGGCACATGTGGGCCCCCACCCACATGCCACATGGTGGGCCCATGTGCACCTTGGGCCCCCCATGGAATTTTATAAACAATTTTAAAATTAAACAATTTAATAGGTGAATTTTTACAATATTGTAAATCAATAACTGTATTTTTTAAGTCCAAAAAACATAAATAAAATATTGAGAGATTCATAAAAATTCAAATAATAAAACTAAAAACATTTCAATAATAAAATGAATACAATGAAATTAATATGATGGGAAAAAGATCCATATGGTTTTAGGAATTCAATATGTGATAATGGGGTACTCCACTTTCAATTGTGGACTACAGACAATACTAGCTTTATCGAATCCACCCAGTGTTTTCCATGACCCACAGTCTAAGCAGGGGCTTATTAGTAGGTCACCAAAGTCAGGTCGATGAATCAAGGGTCGCAATTCCAGTATGTGGATTACAGGTCCTCCCCTAGAGACGAGTCAAGGTCACCACGACCTGATGCGACCACAGCTCTATAGTGCATATGGGTATCGCTCGCACGTGCATACGCTTCACCCAAAGGTGGATATCTGGGTTTCCCGAACAATCTATCGATATGCATGCCGTGTGATGGAACATGAATGGAGTTTTGGCCCCCGTCTCAGTAGGCCTACCATCACATACAAAGGTCACACAGTCCCTCGGCTCACTTATTTAGGCATAAGCTCCGACCTCATCAAGGCCTAAACCAAAACCCTCATCGGTTTAATTCTTTATACCTAAGTACCTTGGATTTTCCAACCGACTGGCCTATATAGATAAGCACAGTCCAACATAAACAAACATCATTTGTTTAGTATAGTCCTCGAGGGATCACACTCTCACTGAGTTTACGTTTCACTATAATAAAAGTGTTTCAACACATACTCATAGGCCTTTAAAGGCCACATAAACCCCACAAGTTGAACATTCTTGCTGCCATTTCAAACACCATTTACTTCACTTTCATTATAGGTATAGTTTGGAGAATTTGGACCTTGTATCGGATGCGATGGATTTGTATCGGGGCTCTTAATCGTTTTTTGGTTTATGTAGGGTGGAACAAGCATCGAAAGCAGCGGATTCTTGACAATTTTCAAAATCGGTCATGGGGCAGCACAACCTCCTCCAAATTCGAATAATGGCAATGGCGGTGTGGTACACCTGAAGAAAATTGAAAGTGGTGGTGGTGCAGCACCACCGCCTTCGAGTTCGAGCGATGTCAATGACTATGATATAAGTTTGAAGGGGATTGCATGCAACAACACCACTTGCTTCAAATCCGAACAGTCGTTCCTACTTGAGTGAATTCAGGACCCATGAATGGGTTAAGGAGCTGCGTCCTTGCTGCCATATCTACCACCATAAACCCATGATTGGGTTAGGGAGTAGTGATGTAGTGCATTTTTTAATTTATAGATTGATTAAGGTTGGGTTTTTAATTTTCTGGTCTATTGGTTTTTGTTGAAGATGAATAGGTTTTGTTGAAGATGAATACTATTAGTGATGTAGTGAATTTTTTAATTTATAAATATTTAGATTGAGGTTGGGTATTTAATTTTTTAGTGTTTTTCAATTGCAGAGATTTAGGGAGAGGGTAAAGTTTATATAAGGCTGAGGTTCTAAACCATCAAACTAAAGTGCACCTTCAAATAGTATTGAGAAATATGGTTTTAATATTGGAGTTCTCTGTGATAGCCTTAAAAAATATATTATCATCTTTGATTATAAAACTTAAAGTTTTAAAAATAATGTAGATCAATCGGATCTATGAAAACTTAAAATCTTGAAAATAGATGGTCAAAAAATGTATTACAAGATACACTATTTCCAAAACTTGAAATCCATTTTTTTTTCACCCCCATGCGTCTTAAGGTCGAGATGGTCAATTTGAAGATTATTGGGTATCAAAACAACGTTGTCTAGTGAAAACACCCTTGTCTAGTGAAATAACCTTGTCTAGTGAATTTTTATAGTTGTGCTCTAATTTGATTGTTTGAGCCTTGCATTATATAAATTTTTGGAAAAATTTCGTATAGAACCCTAATTCTTCATATTATTTCATGGTAAACCCTCTTTCCGTTTTTCTTTCAAGCGGCATAAGGAAAACCCCTAAAGATTTCACCATACCCCTCATCTTATCTCCCTCTTTTATTGAATTTTTATCATAAAAATTAGCCCCAACAAATCATGTTATACCATTTCAACTCAAAAAAAAAAAATTTATAAGTGAAAAGGGGAAAAGAGTGTTAAAAAAGTTTCTAGGTTGAAATAATATAAAAAGATTTGTTGTGTTTAATTTTTATGGTCAAAAGTCAATAAAAGAAAGAGATAAGATATGAGGGGTACAGTGAAATACTTAAGGATTTCTTTATGCCGCTTGAAAAAAAAACGGAATGATGGTCTACGATGAAATAATACGAGGAATTAAGGTTCTATACAAAATTTTCCGTAAATTTTTTTCAATAATATTTGGATGTGGATTTTTTAGATTGTAGGTTTCCATTCCGGGTTTGGTTTCAAATATCTTTTGATCATTTGAATCTTTCCCTATTACCGTTCTAAGGGCTGCCGGAGTTTGGCAACTTTGGAACCAAAAGGCATGGGGATTTTTTACAATGCGAGTACGGATGAGTAGAGCATTACGAGAAGAATTTTGGAGTCATGTATGAGTTGGGTGTTAGTGACAGAGGATTGTTGGGGTGTTTCTAGACATGATTTACAGTTTAAATTTTGAGAGATTTTCGATACGGGTAAATCTAGACCTTCAAAGAAAGATTGTTAGGTATTGGAAAGCTCCGCTTCAAAAGGCTTTCCAGCTGAATTTTGATGATAGCTCGATTAGTAATATTGGTGTCGGTGGTTTAATAACCTATCACAGGTTTCATCCATGTGTCGGTGGTTTAATAACATTTCACAGGTTTCATTCATGCTACTTATTTAGACCATGTAGAGAGGTTTCAGCAAATGAGGCAAATAAAACCTTTAAATAGAAAACCTTTAACAACATATCACACAGGTTTCATCCATGTGGCGGTGGTTTAATAACATATCACAGGTTTCATTCATGCTCCTTATTTAGATCATGTAGAGACATTGGAAAACCTTTAAATAGATCATCTAGGCCTTGACTTAAAAAAAATTGGATTTTAAGCCATAAAAATAGTACATATTATAAGATATTATCTAAGCCTGACCGTTTTGCCCTAGAAATAAATATTCATGGATCCTGGCCTTGATCATTATGGTTGTAAAAAAAATTGGATTTTAAGCCATAAAAATAGTACATATTATAAGACATTATCTAAACCGACAGTTTTGCCCTAAAAATAAATATTCATGGATCGGCAAGATGTATGAGCTTCAAATTTCATAATCGATATTGGAAATTAATTTTAGAGCCATCATGGAGATTTTTTATGCCCAAAGTACTTTCTTGATTAGGATTCCTTATCATTCCATATAACACTTTACTTTGTTTTCATAAAGCATAGCCCTTTTAGAAATTACATCCAAACAAGGCCCTTGTGATTCCTAATGAAACCACTCACGCCTGTAGATCCTGAATTATTGAAGGAACTGCAATCAAAATTCAATTTGATAAGCACGGGAGGCAGAGCTCCCAAACACCCTCTATCTCCGTCATACACTTTTCCGTTGCAATGTGAAGGATGTTGGGACTGGGCCCAGTCCTCTTGGACTCGGCCAAGTAACTCAAACGTGAGTTCTTAAGGAGTTAGGTTTACAACTTCCCATGTTTAAATAAATGCAATATATATATATATATATATATATATATATATATAAAGAAAACATTAGCATAATGCTTATAAATACTTCTTTTGAAAATTTTGTTAATGTTTAATAATAATTGGGATCTTTCAGATTTTTCCCTTTTTTAAAATTATATCGAATATTCAAGTCTACTTTTTGAATATCCAACTTTTATAGTTTTTTCATCTTATTTATTATCCTAATGATTCTAATAACCTCTTCAACTTTTTCTTATTTTTAAATATTTTTTATAGATTTTTTAAACTTTTTTTTAGTGTACCTAACTCGACCGAGTTACTCAGCTCAACAAAGGGCTAAGTACCTTGGCTGAGTCGATTTTCTGTACACTAGTAATGAGGTTCAAATGTTAATTTGAATAAAAGGAAATTGATCAAAAATACAATTAAAAGATGAACTATTTAACATTTTATTCCTTTCTTTTTGTTTAAATTTCATAAAGCCCACTAAAAACAAGGAGCATGAGTTGGAATAGTCTAAATGAATAAAATGTTAAATAGCTGGCCTTGTTTAGGGGCATTTTGATAGATTTCCTGATTAATAAGTGTTTATTACTATTTAGTCTCTCTCCCATATTATCATAGCGGGCAGCACAATCACTCAATCTTCTAACAAGGTTTGAAGGTCTGTTTCACTTTGATTATTGAAGTTAGACACCTTACCTAAATTTTCCATTTAAAATAAATGGATAGATGAAGCAAAGCAGGTATATTTAAAAGCTTTTAGATTTTGAATATCTTTAACTCGCGTGAACACTTCCACTCTTTTAAGTTTTAATCATTGCTATCGAAATCAGACCGAACTGGTGGTCAGGTGCTTTGGCCAATCTAATTCATAATAAAAATTTGATTTGATTGAAAATCAATTAAAACCAATATTTACATTGCTTTGGCCGGTCGAACTAGTTGGTTTTTGATGATTCGACTAACTAAATAAAGTTGAGAAAAAAAAGTTAATACATTTTGTATATTTCAATATTATATCATCTTGCATTTTTATTTCCTCTAAATTCGTCTAACCTGTTTGATAAGTGGTTGGACCAATTTTGACTAGATTAAAACCCTCATTGATCTTATCCATAACATTGGTTTTAACGATGAGATAACTCGTTCCATAATGTGTCTATTCTATTTATGTTTGATTTCCACATAGCTGCAGCTTTATGCGATTTTGATCAAGCAGTTCATAAAAACACTGATAAATTGTTGAAAAACATCTCGTTAGCCTATTAATTTATTTCTCCCCCTAAATGTAGAGTTTGGAGTTCCAAGCATGGTGCAAAGCTAGCAGATCTATGAAATCTCAAAATAAATGGTTCGTTGCGAAAAATATTTTTGGGGCCAGCAATTTTGACATCCATGATTGTGGATGATAAACAATTTAAATAATTTTTAAGCTCGAACTACCTTGTCTAGTGAGATTTTAAGTGGGCTAGTGAAGCCCTGGCTTTGTAAACTTTCTCATATTACCTCAACAATTATAAATTCACTATTTTAAAACATGGATAAAATCTTGATAAACTTTTCGAAAGCCAAGAGCCAAATTTCCTTATTTACTATATAAATCTTCAAACAAAATGTCTGTTACATGTCTACTATGTGTTTAAGTAATTTTTAAAACTCATTGAGTCTACTTATAATCGCTTGAGTCAGCTTGAAATAGAGCTAAAAAAAATTGTCGCCAACATCTTTTAATTTTATCATATAGGGTGGAGTAACTCAAGTCTCCACATTTTATCCTTTGATTTTGGTTTTTTATTGAAATAGCTTGGTCCAACTCAGAATGGCCTAATGCAGGACTTAAATGGCAGGACTCGAAATTGGTGCCAGAGTTCGCCTTTTTAAATACTAGTCAAAATGGTGAATCAAGCAAAAGTAAAGTGATTTATGCATCAAGGGGATGAATAACTCTCCTGAGGTATCACACATCCATCTTAAAGATAAATGTGGGTTCAGATCTCTTTAAAAGGAGGTAAAATCAAAATTTATAGTAAAATTCAAAAAATTATCACTTTTGTTTTACAAATTATTTATTTGTGGACATTCATAATATCCATATTAGATATTATATTTAGGTAAGATATTAAGTCAAAATTCCATTGTAAAAATGGATCCTGAAGGGGGGGGACGCATGTCTACCTTTTTGAGTCCTAGGACTTATAGAAACTATAGGCTTAAGCAAAAGATACGGTCAATTAATGCATTAGAAAGCCAAAGGAGGATTATCAATGGTAAGAACATTGTTTCAAATATGTAGGAACGGCACATAAATCTTGATTCATCATTCTACTTTATCAAAGCAATACCCTAATATAAGCATATAATGTAGATTCAAAATTTGTTTTGACAAAATCTTATATCGGCTACTTAAAATAACTCACCTTATTTACCCCAACTTGCAACCAACTAATGAAAAGTTTAAAGTCCTATAAAAAAAAGCCCTGGGTCCTTTATTGAGACTCATATCAATGGACGGTTTTGATCTAGTACAAGGCATCCGCATCATCATAAATACAACAATGGGGACCGTCGAATTGGAGTAGTAATCTGTCGGTCCAGGACTTCTGTCATGTAACAAATGAGTTCGTAAATATGAGTAAACAAAGACTGCACAAGTTCATATGGACGGTTCTGATGTAGTATAAGGCAGTAACATCATCATAAAACGAGAATGGGGACCGTAGAATTGGAGAAGCATCTATCGGTTCAGAACTAGTGTAGCATGTCAAACATGAAATCTGGACCGTCCATATCAATCTTATCTTCCTTTCGGAAGAAGTGAAGTTTCATTTCCCTCCATTTTCTCGTTGTCATGGACTCTCTGCAAATTCTTAGCCCAATTCAAACCCTAATCCCTAAAATAAGCCCCAAAGTACCACAGATTCAATCTTTATCACAGTATTTTACTATTACACAAAAAATCTCCTCTTCATTGATTTCTCCTTCTGTTTTCTCACAGTTTTCTTCGAATCAGAATCGTTTTCTACGCCCTGGTCAGTTGGGATTCCCTAGCTCTAGAATTTCTATGGAGTTTGTGTACTGTTCAATGTTTTTTTTTTATTCCCTAATTATACTATTTCTGTGAAATAGTGCTGTTTATATGGATTGTGTGCTTTTCTCTGTGATATTAATATCGGGATTTTTTTTAGTTAGAATTTCAGCTTCGGATGGCCAATCTAGTGGTGGAACAGGCGTTGCAACAACTGAGTGGGCAATTCAGGGTGAATTTTTAGCTTTTTTTCCCAGTTTAAATCGTTCATGTTTACATTTTATTCATTTATTTATCATTTATTTATTTATATAGTTGGTTCCAGCCATTAGGTTGATCATGGTTTTGGATACAACCCATATGGATTAACTTTTATTAAAATTATTGGGTTAAACTAAGCAAATAAAAAGGTTAATTTTTTTGGCTTTTTGCAATAATGAGATTATTGATACTTGGTGGGTTGATTTGTTTGTTGTTTTATATGGCACCTTGCTTCAAATAATATGTATTTGAAAAGTTTAAAAATGAAGAACACTGGTTTTTTTTTTTTTTGCATTCTCATTATACGTTCAAATCTAGAATTACTTGGTGTGCCCTTCTTCTTATTCTTTATCTATTCATCTTTTTTTGGGTATGAAGCTATTTGTCTCAGAAACAGTAAACCTGAAGTTTCTAGCTCAAATCCCAGCAACCCAATTGAAAAAATAAGCAAAAAATAAAATAAATTTGAAAACTAACGAAATTTAGTTCTGATTAAGCTGAATTAGTAGCTTTAGATGGAAATTGATGCTCTTTAGTTGTTAGTTCAATTTATGTCATGAGGAGCAGTTGCATAATTGCTTCCTGTCTGATTTTTAACTTCTCCCATTCTGTCATCCAAGTTACCATCAAATTCTTATTTGTGTGCGATGGTTGTCAGATTTTTATACTCTTCGTAAAGATGTGGAAACCACTCAAAAGCGTGTGGATGAGATAAGAGCTTCTGCTGGTCTAGCTCAATTGGAAGAAGAGCTTTCCCTTTTGGAGAAAGAAGCAGCTAAGAGTTCTTTGTGGGATGAACCTGCTAAAGCACAACAAACTCTGCTTGCCTTAACAGATGTCAAAGATAAAATTAAGCTGCTTACAGATTTTGAATCAAAGGTTTGTAACCTGGTATCTACTGCATTCAATTTTTATTAGTCACATTTCAGTGGTTTTGAGGAGATCTACCTGATTTTATTTTATTTTTGTGGGAGGGGGGGAGGGGTGTCGCTTTAGATTACTAACCCATCTCATCTCTCCAGGTTCTAGAATTCATTTTTGCTAAATAGTTTGTATATGATCATTGGTTCATGACATTAATTAACATCATGACATGTTTGTTTGAATACAAACCTCATTACATGAGAATGTTATGTGATGGCCCTTTTAACTTCTCTATCTCTTTCCTCTTTATGTTTTATTTTTATTATGATCTCTATAAGTAAGATGGTGTGGACCAATAAAATGATGGCAGGCTCAAGATGCTGAAATGGTAATAAAATTGACAGAGGAGATGGAATCCACAGATGCTGGGCTTCTTGAAGAGGCATCTAAACTCATTTTAGACTTGAATAAGGCTCTAGATCGGTATGAATTAACGCAGTTGCTTTCCGGGCCATATGATAAAGAAGGAGCTGTAGTAACTATCACTGCAGGTGCTGGAGGAACTGATGCTCAGGTAACATATTTTTCATAGTCCAAAACAAAGTATCATCGGTGTTGGAATTTGTTCTTTTGCTATTTGTGATGGATATGAAGCTTCTTTCTTGGATTTTGTGGAAGAAAGACCAAGCTATTTTAGAAAATGCATGTGTGTGTCAATGATTTCAGTTGCCAGTTCATAGTTGTAGGAACCTTGTACTTGGGTAGCTCCTCTCATCCACTGCCGCATCCAATTCTTATTGGGCGTGTGGTGAGAGATAATCTGCTTTTGCTTTGTATAATGTCGATGTGGGTCCTGTGAAATCCTTTAGTTGCCCATCTGGTTCCATGAAATATATGGCATTCTCCCTTGGATAGTATACGACTCTTTTAATATCGTGTTAGTTGGGTTTCTTCCTAGTATTATGCAGAACCGTATGTCTCACACAATGAAGGGATCTTCTGCATCAGTTCAACTTTGATAAAAGTCTAGGACCAAAACTTGCTTCCTGAACAGTCTCAGCTAGTTTGTTAGGGCCCTGCCTTTGATTCACAGTACTGATGACGTACATGAATGTATGTTTTTTTGTTTGTCTTTCAATGTGAAGGATAAAGTAAATTCCAAATCATAATAGCCCATGTGTTTTGTAGGCACATTTATACTTCTGTATTCGTATATTTGTGCATGCAAGCATACGTTCTACTGTCTATTGTTTGTTCAATTGCTGAGTTCCAATATAGTGATGCTCCATGTGCATGTGTTTGTTTATGCAAGCACAGATTCTACTGCCTTTTGCTTGTTTTCCATTATGATGTGTCAATTGGAAGTTCGGAAAAGATGTCCCCGTATATTTTCATCAATCTAACTTGTCAAAATAAATTATATTTTTATCAATATAGTTGGTTTATTCCAGTGCAGGATTGGGCTGACATGCTTCTCAGAATGTACTTGAGATGGAGTGAGAAGCAGCGTTACAAGACTAGGGTAGTTGAGAAATCAATGGGGGAGGAAGCTGGAATCAAGTCAGCAACAATCGAAGTCGAAGGGCGTTTTGCTTATGGTTACTTGTCTGGGGAGAAAGGAACACATCGTATTGTTCGTCAGTCTCCATTTAATGCCAAAGGTCTTCGCCAAGTAAGTAGCATTCCTTCTTTCCTTGTTCATTTGCTTTTGGGAGGAGCCACCCGCTACAACAAATGCAATGGCTCAAATTCTACTTGCCTACCACCGGAAAATCAATCTCAAGAAACCCAAACAACCAGGAACAATATGTGGTGCAATAATTTTGAGAAAAAATAAAAGGAAACCAAGAGAAAATAAATAAGAAAACCCAAAATATCACACTAGAAGCTACAACCCAAACACCACTAACACACAAATATATGTTGAGTAAGCTACATCCATCAGCAATAAGCAAGGATATGATTTGATTCTCACAAAAGAATTACAAAACTAGGTAAGTACAAGCATACCTCACAATCAGCAAATTACCAGCCATTCTCTTTTCCACACTCTTTAAAAACCATCAAACCAACCTACTATGTAAACTCCATAACCATGCGTCCACCTACAATGGAAAATGTCAATGAAACGTGCAAAATAGGAGGCAACGGTTGCTAGTATTCTGCCCAAAACCTGCAATCACGACCTCAATAAGAGCTCTGCCTCACAACCTCTACTTTAGTTTTGTAGAAAGTGAGCTTTTAAGGCTCTTAATAAAGAAAAAATATTCCTTAAGGGGTTGAATTTAAATCACCAATGCAACACAATTTAGAAAGAGGTAAGAACATATCAGTATTTGTTGATTTGGCAAGTTACAAAATTTCCCTTTATGTCATGTAAAATCACCATTGTGTCCCGTTTCTTATTTTGAAATAACTAGAAATTTCTTTCCCCATGGTTACCCATGTTGATTTCCTTCATCTCAATAGGGACAAGTTGGAAGTTTGGTATTAACATCTTAACTGACGGTTGTTTTCTGTTATTTGAGAAAGTTTTAGCACTCTTCTTTCTGATATTTAAATTAAGGGACTAGTGTTATATGCAGATATTTAAATTGTTCAATGGCCAACATTTTCATATAATGGGCTCGAGGCTAGGCAACATGACATCTTAATTTCTATTCCTACCATAGGCTGGGGACCCTTTCTCCACTGGGCTACCAAAATAAAATGAAAAAAATAAAGTTCAAAGAGAAAAGGAAAATGCATGAAGACCAGAGAGAAAATGACAAGTTTTGTAGACAAACCTGAGAGAAAACATATGAAACACGGATATTTCTTGCATATACTTAACTGTTCTTTTTATACATATTATTGATAAACAGAACACTTTGAACCAGTAAGGAGGCGCAAGTTTCATGCTTTGTATTTCACGATATTGTAAAATATTTTCCATGAAGCCATGATTTTAAACATTTTCTTTAGACCAGCTTTGCAGGTGTAGAAGTGATGCCACTTCTCCCTGAAGACTCCTTAAATGTTGAGATACCAGATGAAGATCTAGAAATAAGCTACACTAGAGCAGGTGGGAAAGGGGGTCAAAATGTGAACAAAGTAGAAACAGCTGTTCGAGTTGTTCATATTCCTACAGGCATCGCAGTTCGCTGCACAGGTTTGCTTTCAACAAAACTCTTGTGATCTTAATCACTAAACAAAGTGCAACTTGCTCAAATTTCGCTCTTTAGCAAGTTTTAAGCATCACTAATATGTTGTGGTGAGCATATTATTAACCAAATTTACAACATCAGCTTTAGCAGTTGACGAGATTTACATTTTCTCAAAAGGAAATAATTTCACCCTATCATAAAATATACGTAAAAGGCAAGCTATCTTAATTTAGAATTTAGCAACTTGCAATTTTTTGAATAATGCAAGGTCCGCATACTATTATTAAGCATTGGTAAGACTTCAAGGAAATGACACATCACCAGCAGCAATCGAAATGAGAACAAAAGAAAGGTGTCGATAGCATTGAGTCGATCAATTGAGACACAATTGAAATATTTGGCTTTGCTTAATCGGGAGTTTCCATATTCTTGGCATGTGTTGTTGTTTACTTAGGTGATCATGATTGTACTGCTGAACTAACTTGTTCCACAGAACCATGATAAATGGCAATTAGAATTGTTGATCATTTCAAAGAGAAGAAAAAGATAGAGAAAAGTATAATCCATTGAAATATTAAGTGATTATTCCCCCCTCCCAAAATAATAGAAAACCCACTTGGATTAATGCCTTTGATATTTGAGTTTCTGTTCTTGATCCTCACTCACGCTTCTGTGTTTTCTTTCTTCTTTTCCTTTATTTCGGGGGGGTTTTGGGAATTCAGAAGAAAGAACCCAACTTGCAAATAAGATCAAGGCGTTGAGCAGATTGAAGGCGAAGCTACTGGTGATAGCTGAGGAGCAACGGGCTTCGGAAATCAAGCAAATAAGAGGGGATGCAGTAAAAGCAGAATGGGGGCAACAAATACGTAATTATGTATTTCATCCCTACAAATTGGTGAAGGACGTGCGCACAGGGAATGAGACGTCTGATATTTCATCGATTATGGATGGCGAGTTGGATCCCTTCATCAAGGCCTATCTCAAGTTCAAGTATAGTAATAAGGTGGCCATGGCTTAAGCCTGCAGATTGTTGATATAGATTACAACTTGTATGACACCCTTCTTCTCTCTGGTCGAGGCTTATTACTGTTTCCAAGTATGGTGGTATATGACCAGCGGTTAGCAATAAAGTGAGAAGGCATTTTGGTCGTGTATATATCTGTGTAGTTTATGTTAGTTGACGATTTTACAAGTTGGAATCTGATCAGTAGCCCCTCTCTCTCTCTCTCTCTCCCACG